ACTGCACTAGACTGCCCTACTCTTCCCCAGCTTAATAATATAGTAATAGTGACTATGTATTGTTATAACTATGTCTGTTTTAACATTTAAGGCTGTTTTACCCATTTCTGTTATGCTCGTTTTTGTACGTGAGAACTGAGCTCAGGAAGGACTTTCTGAAGAAACAGAGTTACCGAGTGGGCCCGACGGAGATCCGCCTGACTTCGAAGTCTGTGCTCTTCCCCTCCGTCCATTGCCCTGTCCGCCACCACGCAGCGGCCTCCCGTCCAGCCCTCACGTATTTTAAGCATTCAGGCGACATTTGTTGAATTAAGCTTTAAAAAGAAAACATGAGTGCCCTAGAGCCCAGGCACAAATCCTCAGTGTTTTATGACACTATATACAGATGTCATTAAAGAGGGAAGGAAGAAAGAGAAAGGAAGGAGAAAGATCATAGATTCTTGGGCAGCTTTAATAAAATACTAACCTTTAAGAGCAGGTAAGGAAGGAACTACCTCGTCAGTAATGCACAGAATAAATGCTGGGCCACTTTGACCTTAAATTCTAAAGGAGCAGTCGATGACTCCCCGCTCCCCGGAGCACACAAAGTGCTGTTGTCCATGATGAAACTCAACGATCAGGTTCTGCTTCAACGGAGAACTGCACTGCTCGAGACAGCCACCGAGACCCACAGTTGCTGGCAAGTGGCATGGGGAAAAGAGGCCAGTGGACAAACTTCTGCAAGGACAGGTCTTTCAGTCTCTGGGTTATTTCCAGCCTCTTACAGATCCCACTCGTGAATTAGGACAAAGCAGTAAAGCAGTTAAAATAAATCAGAATTCAGTTCACTGACATGAATTATGCTGACATGAATACTCACTGATATGAGTATTCCAGTGCTATAGCTTCCCCTTCCTTCCCCCAGACTGAGGTTCATTTCCAACTGCTCTGTGGAAAACAGAATCACTTTGCTTCTCAGAGTCAGGCTTGAATTAGGAAAATACTATGTGGTGAACGTTCATCCCTCTTTATTATGCCCAGTGTTTATGTTAACTTACTATTTATTAAGTGGCCCTAAGTACCTAACATATTTATTAGGTATTGCACATTTTATTCATTGTTGTTAGAAGTACTAAAAAATTGGGGAGATTTCATTTGCCTTTTTTATGTATTTTTTTAACTGTGGTAAAATATACATAACATAAAACCTACCATTTTTACCATCTTTAGTGCACAATTCAGTGGCAGTAAACGCATGTCACTTCCCTTCCTACATAGTCTATTCTCTCATTATACTCACACTGTTAATACCTAAACAACCAACCTGACATTTTAGTGTTATTTTGCCTACAAAAAAAAAAAAAAAATTCCTACAACCACAATAAGGTTGGTGCTTTTTAGAGAGGCCCAGACTCTGACAGACTCCTGTTTTATTTGGAGTGTCCCATTCTTCACTGGGACGTTAAATTTCCCCTATATTCACTTGAAGCTTGTTTTGAACAGGTAATTGTTGCTCATCTTCTTTTCTCCTGAACTATGTTATCATCTCACCGGCTTGTACTGTATTGGATCACCTGGGGCCAGAGCTAATGCTTCTCCAGAAATATCTGGAACAGTCAGGCATGAAGAGATATCTATTCCATAACAGCAATGAAAGTGAAGTTTGGTTAGTTTTATTTTCCTGAGAAATGAAGAATGGCCAACAATTATTCATAAGCTGTTTTACAGCACTTCTCTTTGAATTTCAGGGCTCTATCACATTCTTCCTAAGAGTCCCATTTTTCATGTATCATGAAGTTTTCCTCTCATAATACGAACATTCATGTAACACATTTATTCCTATGTTGAGCTTAGGAAATGGGAAGTATTATTGCCCATTATTCTCTTTCTAGATATAGGAGCTAACATATGAAACGAGTCAAACAGGAAAATCACAATTAGAACCAGGAGTGAAATTAAATTATAATGAGATTAATGTCAAAGTAATACTCTTTGTAGAGGTAGAGAAATATTATTTAATCCTGAAGAAAAATGATCTCAAAGTTTATTTTACTTCTTGCCAGATTTCCAGGCATTGGTATATTGTGGTTCATAAAATAACAAAACTATTGTGTCTCTTAAAATATGCAACAATACTAATTAGCTACAGCAATGCACCTACATAATTTTCAAACAGCTTTTAAAATAACATGTAGCTTTTTATATTATTTTGTTTTTTTATTGTTGTTCAGTTACAGTTGTCCCCATTTTTCCCCACTTGCTCTCCCCTTCTAACTTAAAGCAGACATGTAACCAATGTTGTAAAATTGCTTTTCACCACTAGAGGGCAGAAAACGCTGCACATTTGTACTGAACTAATTTTAAATTACTTAACCAAAATAACAATAGCCACCACCACTGCCACAACAAAAAGTCTCTAAGATCCTCTGGTTGTATGCTGTACAATATATTGTACCCTTAAGGCCCAGTTGACAACTTTAATATTTTAAACTAACAATTACCTACATTCAACAGTTTATAAAAGTTTATAGTAGCATGTTTGCAGCCCGAGTCTAGCTATGAGTTAAGAACTATTAGCATCAAGGAATCAGCACATCCTGAAGGAAAGGCAGAGTGCTTAAAGCAAAACAAACTGCAACTGAGAATCAGCCATATTCTTTCTAAGTAAAATATCTGCAATGAAATGCAAAGGCTGTATTTATTATAAAACTGAAATAGTCACTGAAGTTACAAGATGATCAAATATTAGAATATTAACATTTGACTCTTGAATTTCCCTGTGTACCTTTTTTTAAACCACAAACCAACAGTAGCAAAACAGTGGCAAAGATGTTTTTAGTTTCCCCTTAATAAATCTTTTGACCTAATTAACTTTTGTTTCCCTCCCAATTAGGCTATTTGCAATTCAGTAGCTAAAGCATTACTTTGTTTGATTATAAACCACAACCTCTTCACTTTTTCACTCTCATTAATTAAAACACAACGTGGTAAATTAAGCCTTTTGGATTTCAGTCTGGAGGGGTGACATTTTAACAACTGCCCCTTCGACCCTCTCTCTCTGTCAATCTTGGCTATGTCCGACATCACAGGACAGCGAGCAGAAAATGGTGGCAGCCTGAGGGAGGAACAGAGCAGGCTCGGTGCCGGGGTTATACATCACTGAAGCCAATGGTTTCTCTGATGCATGAGCCTTTCACCTGCCAATCAAGCTTGATAAGGCTTCTACCTTATAGGGTTATTCATGACCTTACCCAAGACATTAAATCATTTCTGAAGCCTTGTTTCTTAACCTAAGCAAAGCAGCTCTCTCCACATTTCAGGTCTACTGGCCCTATTCACTCTAATACTGATAATCACAACACAGTGGTTCAGGAAAGCTGGGGGCCCAGACAAAGTGTCAGTGTACTTCTTTTGGACCAAGGAAAGCAATGCACTTTTAAAATCAGGGCTAGTCATCGCCGAGAAAGGGTACTGTGTTATTACCTACTGGTGGAATTGGCAAGTTTGAAAGAAAGTGCTAGCAGTTACAGCTGCCCTGTGTTAGATCTAACATGAGCCAAGGAAAGGCGCTTGAGCGCAGACTGGATGGTTATACATGAGAAACATCATAAATGTCATTTCTGCACGGACTGCTAAGCCGCACTAGTAGACTTCCAAAACCTTATCAGTCTCCTTTTAACATTAATTTATGTTGGAAAGAAATACATGCACAAAGATTTAAAAAGCCAAGAAGAATTCTACAGGGCTTATAATTAGGGTGGGAAGCATCCAGCTTTCCAGGAACATTTCTGATTTATGCTTATTATCCCAGTGTAATTTTACCCCCTTTCATCCTTAAAAGTGCCCCAGGTGGATGAAAGGCTACTGTCTCAAGCCCAACCTCATCATCCCCAATTTCTATTCCCCAGAACCAACTACACTGAATTTGTTTAGAATTTTTTCTATATGACCTCAAATTTCTAAAACAAACAAAAAGCAAACAAAAATTGATTATACTACTTGTATCAATTTAAAAAACTGCCTTTGAATTCAAGAGGGGAGGGAATCAACTTAAACAAATAGAAAGAGATGCCTGGAAGGTACAGTGTTTGAACACTTATTCATCTAAAAATGACTTCTCCACCTTCACACTTTGTTGGGATTTCATATACATACAAATCCTCAACAAAATGTTAGAATCCCAGATTAACTAACTGTAGGGGTAGGGAAAGTAATGTCATTGTTCACACACACAATACCTACATCTCCCTTCAGAATCAGACACAGTGCTGTCAGCTGTTAACATCTTACTCTTTAAACTTTATCAAAGGTATGTATATATAAGAAAAACGGTATATACAGGGTTCAGTACTATCCACTGTTTCAGGTATTACTGGGTGTCTGGAAATATATCTCCCAGGATAAGAGGGAACTACCATAATTCATTTAACATATACTATGTAGGTGCTGTGATATAATCATGAGTCCTTGAATGTAATTTTAAATCCTACTACAGCCCTATGAGGTAGATATTATCCTCATCTGCCATATGAGAAAAGCAATCTAGGTTTGCCTGGAGATCAAAGCTATGTTCTTATCGTCTTTGCTATTCTGATTCTCTTATCTTCTCTATGGAAGTTCAATGTTTCCTCTTATGTTTCGCCGTTAGTGAAGTGCCTCTGTGTTACAGCACTAATACTGCAATACCTATTGATTTATATGACTGCCTCCCTCGATTGTCCCCCATTAAGGGAAGGGGAGAGGAAGGACCGGTCTCTTGCGCTCGCTCACCAGTTTCCTCCAGCCTTTTCCCTGGCCCTACCCTCTACCTGGGTTCAGTAGACACAAAAAGAACGCCCCAGTCTAGAGGCACCGCTAGACCAGGCAGCCTTCCAAAGAGAAAGATGCCACCGCCAGAGGGCGCCTCTGGGCGGACCGAGGGGCGGGGCCAGAGTCCAGGGCTTAGGGGTGGCTTTCGACCCCCGAATGAGCCTCTAGTCTGCTCTCCTCATTTCCGCTTCCGCTTCTGATTCTTACCTGAACGGGAGTTCCTGGGCTGTCTTCCTGCGAAACTTCGTCACGCTACGGGCTGCCCCGCAAGAATGCATTACCTAGTGTCACGGTCACGGTCGCCGTCACAGGCACCCTCGACCCCACCCCTGGCCTGCTCGCTGTCCCTCTCTCTCCCTCACCCGCACCTGCCTGCAAGCTCCCTGGGGCCGCAGGTGCGGACCACGGCGGAATTCCACGCTCCGCGGAGGCCCGCCAGCTCTGGGGAGGGGAAGGGGAGACGCAGTCCAGCGCCGCTCCCAGGCTGATGTCCCAGGTGCGTCGGAAACCCCGCGGCGCCGATCGGCGGGGTGTCGATGGCCCAGAGGCTCGGCCGCAGCTCCCGGGCCCGTGGTCCTAGCCACCGCGCCTCCTTGGTGTCCCCCTCCCAGTCCGAGGTGGGGTGGGATTCTCACCTGTTGGGATCCAGCTCATACTTCACCACTGATTATCCACCTCTCTGCACAGGACTTCCCTCGTTTCCGATACCCGAAGCCTTCAGAAGCTGTTGATTTTGGGGGATAGTAAGTCCCCCTACTTTTTAGAAAGGCCGTGAGGAGCTGGGGTGGGGTGGGGGAGAGGGGGCGTCATCAGCTAAGTTTTCCTGAATAGTAATGGTTAAACTTGAGACAACAATTGAATTTCAGCCCGTGTCCGCGAAGTAGAGAGGCGTTGTATGGACCTAGACCACCTGGGAACATCTCCCACTTCCTGGATTTGTTTGAGTAGCAAGTCATTTCCATAGAACTTCAGTTGCTAGTTATTACTGATGTGACATCTGAGGGTCCACAAGAAGCCCTTGATTTCTCTTCAGCGTTGGGTCGAACAGTTTAGCTGTCCAAAGCAGGCTTCCTGGCCCCCGCCCCAGGGAGAGTCAGTATGACAGTGACTGATCCAGTCCACCCCCAAGTCAAGTGTGCCCCGCTTTTCTTTTCCAGGGCGTGCCTTTGTAGCCGAGCAGCATGGAGGTAATGCACCGCAGGCCCTGCTGCTGCAGGGAGCTGGAAGGAGCTGGCATACTGTCCGACACCTTCTACTCTAACGAATTGCACACTCCGCTGCGAACAGCTGCTCGCCCAACTGCCTCAGAGGACAGGTAAACCAAAAGCTAGAGAAAGCAAAACACTTTAAAAGGGTTTAAATCTTTTTTTTTTTAAGTATGAGGAAAAACACATGGTTAGGAATTCGATAAAAAGTTAGTGTGTATTTTTAAAAGGTAGACATCAACTTCATCCATTTCATGCTAGAGCTCTAGAATAACTGGTTCCTTCATTTGAAAATTAACCTGTGTAATTTTTTATTTTATAACATCATCTGGTTAAAAATACTCCCAGAGTCTGTTGTTCATAGTTTCTGCCTAAATGTTTGCTTTATCAAATTTCCTGTAACACATTAATTACAGATTATGATTAAAATTGCATCTAATATATATTTAGTCATTACCATGTGTGGGCATTGTACCAAACACTTTCTATGTAGTAACTTTTTTAATCCTCAAACAACCCAGTAAAGGAAAGTACTATTATTATCCCCATTTTATGTATGAAGTAACAGGTAAAACAAATTTTCCAAGATCTAGTGCCAACTTTCCTGTATTGCATTTACTTGAGTCATTCTGAGGAGGAAAAAAATGCTCAGAACACGTGGACAGTGAAAAACAACCCTGTGGTTGTTTCCTCGTTTCTTTGTTTTGCTTGTCTTTATTTTTTAATTTCACTTTGCCAGACATCTTAAGAATTATTTATTTAAGAAACCAGACAGGAAGTCACCTAGCCTCAGTTCAAACACTTGAAAACAGAGACATCGCTGCCACACACATAGCCCCTTGCAATTCTGAGGGCTTCCGGTCTGTTTCCTTCCCACGGAGAACATTTTTCCCCCTTGTATTGCCTACCTGCTGACCCTGGTCCTTCCCTCGGAAGCCGTGCAAAATGAGAAAAATCGGTCATCTCCAGGGCAGCAGCCCTTGCTCGGGGTTCTCTTTGCCAGGCTAAACAGCGGCCCTCAACACACTTTACTCTTCTTTCTTCTTGCATCTAAGCTTTCACCACCTTGATCAGACTTGCATGGTCTGCTCCAGTTTGTAAATGTGCTCTTTATATGACAGAGGAAAAAGGCAGCTTTTTTTCCTAGTTATAAAACTAACACGTTCCTTGTGAATAATTTAGACCTCATGGAAATCCACAAAGAAAACAAATTTTCTTTGACAGAATATTTATGAAATTAAAGCACAAGGAAGAAAACCTCTGCACTTCCTTTGTCAGAAATAATGACCACTGTTAACATCTCAACATGCATTCTCTCCATTCTTTTTAATTTAAAGATCATATTCAACTTAATTTTTATAAACTGCTCTTTTCATATTTGTGGGGAAGATTTGTGACTTCTACTGAGTCAGTCCTTGCTGCACCTGCTTTTCTACTATTATCTGATTCCAAAAAGTAGCTGTCAGCCCAAAATTCCTACTCAGCTCCGAGGGCCAGCAAATCAGGCAGAGCTCCCCTTGAATCAGAGGGAGCCCTCAGCTGGTCCTGTGTGATCTGGGCATGAGCAGCTGACCCTGGCTCATAAGCAGCATTGTGAGGTTTTATACTTGGCCAAAGGGACCTGAGTTGGAATTCACGGCAGCCATGTCCGATTGATTCTTTATCCCCTCAAAAGTACTCATCTAAGGTTTTTTACTGAAATTTTGATCCCTTCCATGTAAATGGTTATATGGTTGGTTAGTAATTGGCTCCAAAACCCTTTACTGGCATGAAATTTAAGAGGAGCTTCTTTGAGAAAGTAATTGTTTCATTAACTGACTTATCGTAGGTACCTGTAAACTACAATAAGGTATTATTTGAAGCAATATCTACACACAACGATGTCCTTGCTCCTAAGAACTAAAACTTACTCTCCTCCTTTACTCCATGTGACTTCTTTCCTTTCGTAGTCCCTAAATAGGAAAGCTGATTGATCACGTAGTCTCAGAACTCCTCCTGTTCGCTCCCCCTTTAGAGTCAGCTGAGAAGCCGACAGAAACAGAAGTTCGTTTGTCTCTCCATGTTGTTCTTCTGAACTGCTCTGGAAAGTGCCATCAAGAGAACCTTGAGTGGTACCTCTGGTCTATCGATGCCGAGGCTTATTTCTTCAGACCAGGTTCAGGGTCAATGACTCCTGACTCAAATCTCCAAAGTAAAACAAAACAAACTAAAACACTGCTGGCCTTTAGTAATTACTGTTCATAATGATAAGGATGAGCGTGAGTCCTAGAACACTTAGCTCTTGGTAGCTTAGATTTCTGAACATGGCTGTGCAGAAGGGGATGTCTTTTTTAAATAGCCATGTATTTTGAACTAAGTTAGTCATCTTAATAGCGATGCAAGATGATTTGCTCATATCAGCCTACTTTTTTTTTTTTATTTCCAGAATAGGCGATGCAGTACAGCACCATTGTTACCCACCGCTGGTAGGCAGACAGGGGGCATCAAAATCACCTGAGAAGCTGTCTAAAAATACAGATTCCCAGGCTCTGTAGATATTCTAGCTCACTAGGTTTGAAGTGGGTCTAGGGAATCTGCATTTTTAGAAGTTGTTTTCAGCTTATTTTGAGAACCTCTGGGCTGGTAGAAAGCACTGAAAACAGTAAGATAACCAGGAGTATGGTTCTGGCTCACTCATGGTTCTAGGGCAAGTTAGTCTTCATGCTTCAGTTACTTTCTCCACTGGTAAATTTTGAAGCAATTACAGTGGTCACTGATATAAATATATATATTTTTTAATATATATATATTTTGAATATATATATATATATTCAGTGGATTGCCCTTTAAAATAATAAATAGGTAGTAGCCTTTTATATTCTCTCCAATGAAAATTTAAGACTGGCAGGCCCAGCTATTCGGAATCAGAGATGTCTATCTCTTTCTTCCATTCGGTTGACATCTCCTTACCTCTAACAGGTTCTCCAGCTCCATAGACAAACAAACATATCAATTAAGGAAGTGTCTTGATAATTGCTTAAGATTTCATTATATGTTCCAGTTTTGTTTCTGGGTTCTTTCCATTGCTTTCTGATTACTGAATATTTTTTGACTATTAGCTCTCTGCCAACTAAAAATGAGTGTATCTAATAATTACTGGATAAATTCAGCCCCCTGAGATCGAAATTTAATGTTCAAAATTCTGTAAAGTGACATCAAGGAGAAATATTGGTTCATCCATAGGGAGGAGCATATCTTATTCCATATCTTCTGGATTTCTAAATAAAGCCTTTCTCAAAATGTATTCTAATTCCCCGGATGGGGGTAGGGGGCAGTCGTTACTGACTCTGAGCTCCTGGTTCCACTTAACGCTCTTCATATTCAACAACGTTTTGACCCAGACACAAAAATCAGTCATTCTTTAGTTTCCTCCAAAGACCTCATCCACATGGAGCATTTGTGAGCCTGGTAAATTTCACCGATCAGCTAGGTGTCAAGAGGAAGAACTACATCCCACCATACAACGTAACCTAAAGCCCCTCATTAGCCATAACTTCCATTCTCTTCAAGTCCTTTAGCCCAGCTGTCACCAGCGTTCTCCGACCGTTCTGTCCTGCTAGCTTCTTTCTTCCTCTCCCTTTGCTCCCCTTCCGTCTTCCTCTCACAGCAGCGAAACACCAAAGCTCTCACGCCTCTGAGCGGCTTAATGTCTGAAGCTGCTGGGTCACTTTCCAACACCCATATTTGCAGAGTCTCTGTCTCTATACCAAGTGGCCTAACAAAATATTTGATCAAACAAAGCAAGTTTTTCCCTAAGGATCCTGGAGCCCACATTGTCAAGAATTGTCAAGTCTATAACTTTTCTAACCTGTAGGCCTTTTCACATGTTATTCCCCGGCCTAGAATCTTCCCTCTCCCACCTATACGTCCTACTCATCATTTGGACTCATTTTCGACAACGATTCCCCCAAGAATTTACTTCCTTCTTGGGAGGAAATCTGGTTGGTCCCACAATGGGCCAGGGAGTATACTACCCATCCTAAACTACTTAAATCCAAGGTCAAGTGAAGAGTAGATGCAAACTTGGGCAGAAGATGACTATGGAGCTGGTTTACGTCTGACTCACTTTTAGCATGAAAGGGTAGCCTTTTGGGGTCCCAGCTTATTTTGGAGATGGTCTCCTTCAGGTTCCTCACCTAGGTGATCTCTGTACCCCTCATCCTGCAAAATCCTTAAAGTAAAAATTTGCCTGAAGTGACACTGCCCTAAGAGCAAAAGAGGTTTCTATGTTTGTTTACCTCTCTGGATTCCCATTTTCCCTCTTGCGAAGCTCTGCTCTTCCTTTCTGACTTGTTAACAGCTACTTGCTTTTAAGAATATTATTTTTTCTTCTTTTCAGCATTGTTTTGTTTTTTGTCTTCTCAAGGCAAATCAATAAGGTCAAATGGAAATAGAATTGAACTTCCTCAAAAAAATTTAACCCAAAATACAATTGTTCCCTTTTCAAGATTTTCATGTCATTCTCTGCTCTCAAAGAAAACTGCCTAGTCAGTAAATATTTGTTGAGCATCAGATCTTTGCAAAACACTACGCTATACCCTGGGGATTCTGTGGTGAGTGTGGAAGAGACCTTGTCTACAGTGACTTGTCCTCATTTTGCTCTGCAGCGGCAACTGTGATGAATCAATGTTCTTTATTCTCTAGAACATTATACTCTTCGTGTCTTGGTGATAACTGTTTTACAATAAAAGGATATAACTCAGGAATAGCCAGATGGAAGAGATGCACAGGGCAAGGTATTGTGGGAAGAGACACAGAGCTTCACGCCTGAGCACTCTACTCTCCCTGCATCTTCATGTGTTCACCATACAGAAGCTCCCTTTTCGGCATTTTTAGTTGTTTTCAGTGGGAGGGATGGCCCAATTACTCTAGACTGCCGTTACTGGAAACTGGAAGTCATTAAATCCTTCCCAACTAGGAAGCAGATCTTTTGCCACAGTCTTAAGTGTTTCATGAGGCCATCTCTAGCCTGAGTCTTTCATTACTGTGTCATCAGCTGCAGTCCAGGAAACAAATCCACCCTTTGGTTCTTGCCCATTCACTCATGTATGCATGCATTCAACAGACATCCATTTAGTACCTCCTGTATAGCATGGATACAACAGTGAACAAGGCAGAGTCCCTGCCCTTCACTTCCTCATGAAGAAAGAGCAAAAAGTGTCATCTGAATTAGCAACCACCTTAGGAAATGTCCATGTCTCCAGCCCACAGAATGGTACAGTTGTGGGGGGTTGGATTATTGGAGACCTGATTTCTTTGAAAGGTAACTGCTGAATAAGGAAATGTTCCTAAAACTTTAGCATGCACAAGAATCATCTAGAGGGCTTGTTATAATAGATTACTGGGGTCCACCCACAGAAAATCTGATTCCTACATTAGCAACATTTGAGGTGGAGCCTGAGAATTTGTGTTTCTAACAAGCTCTGCGAAGATGCTAATGTTGCTGGTTCATGGTCCACATTTTGAGAATCACTATTAAAGAAGCTCTAGATAGAGATTCGGAGCAAGTGCTTCTGCACCTTTACAGTACTCTCCATTTTTTAATATCAAAAGATAATCTGTAGCCAAGATCAATGAATGGGGAGAGAATAGTCTTGTCAACAAACAGTGCTGAGACAACTCGATATCCACATGCAAAAGAATGAGGTTGTACCCTTATCTCACACCATGCATAAAAGTTAACTCAACATGGATCAGAGACCTGAATTTTAAGAGCTAAAACTAAAAAACTCAGAAAAAAACATACAGGTAAATCTTCATGATCTTGGACTTGGCAATATATTCTTAGATATGACATTAAAAGCACATGCAACAAAACAAAAAAATAGATAAATTGGACTTCATTTAAATCAAAGACCTGTATTTCAAAGGATGTGATAAAAAATTTAAAGACAACATACAGAAAAGGAGAAAATATTTGCAAATCCAATCTCTTATGAGAGACTTGTATCATGAATATATAAAGAACTCATACATCTCAGTAAGATAACCCACTTTAAAAATGGTCAAGGATCTAAGTAGACATTTCTTCAAAGAATATATACAAATGGCAAATAAGCACACGAAAAGATGTTCGACATCATTAGTCATTAGGAAAATGCAAATCAAAACCACAAAAAGATACCATTTCACATTCACTAGAATGGCTATAATTTTTTTTTTTAAAGGAAACATTTCCTTTTTTTAAAAGGTGTTGGTGAGGATATGGAGAAACGAGAACCCTTGTACATTGATGATGTTAGAAATGTTCCGCTGTGAAAAACAGTCTGAGAGTTCTTCAGAAAATTAAACAGAATTACTCTAAGACCCAGCATTCCACTGCTAGGTATATCCCCAAAAGAACTGAAAACAAGTATTCACACAAAAACTTGCACATAAGTGTACAGCGCCACCTACTAACAATAGCCAAAAGGTAGAAACAACCCAAATGTCCATCAACAGATGAATGGATAAAGAAAACGTCTTTTATCCATATGATGCAATATTATTCAGCTATTAGAAGGAATGAACTATTGATATGTGATATAATCACAAAAGACCACATATAGATTTCATTTATGGGAAATATCCAGAATGAGCAAATCTGCAGAGATAGAAAATAGAACAGTGGTTGCTTAGGGCTGGGGCTGGAAGGGGGACGTGGGAGGTGGTGGCTAAAGAGCACCAAGTTTCTTTCTGAGGTGATGAAGATGTCCCAAAATTAGGGTGGTGAGAGTTGTACGAACTTGTGAATATACTAAAGATAATTCAATTGTACACTTTAAATGCATGAATTGTATGCCATGTGAATTATAGCTCAATGAAGACATTTAAAAGAAATAAGTATACATACTACAAAAAAATGTTAAAAAGTTAAAAAAAAAAAAGATAACAATAGGCGCTCAGGAATGTCACCTCATTCTTGCAGCAATCCAACGAGGCCTAAATAACCCGTGTCTATCATAATCTACATAGCACTGAGAATTCTATCCGTGTCCTAAAACATGTAATCTAAACATGATTTTGCAGCTGCGGGAATTTTCGTTGTTTGCCTTCGTCCGTTTGGGCAGCTATAACAAACTACCACCGACTGGGCAGCTTGTCAACGACAAACATTTGTTTCTCCCAGTAACGGAGGCCGCAGCCCAGGATGCCGGCACCAGCCTGGTCCAGTTCCGCTGAGCGCCTTCTTCCGGGCGCATAGCCGGCACCGCTGGCGGTGTCCGCACGTGGCGGAGGGGGCTGGCAGTCGCCCCAGGGCCTCTTACAGGAGTGTTCGTCCCGAGTATAAGCGCTCCCCCTGCATGACCTAGCCACCTCCTAAGGGCCCCACCTTCTTTTACCATCACATTGGGCATCAGGATTCCAACATATAAATTGAGGGGGAAGGGGGCTGGGACACAAACATTCTGACCGCAGAATCCATACTGAAGCTATTGAAAAAGTCTCTCTGTTTTCACAGGTACCAGGAATTAAGGGAGTCGCTCCATCAGTGTAGGCTTCCATGGGGCGCTGACAGGGAGTACGGCGGGATAATTCCCATTTCCCTCCCTGAGGAACACCGGCCAAAATGCGAGCCTCCGCGTGCCCTGGGCAAGGGCCATCAGCACTACGGATTCGGTGGAGGAACCTGGTCAAGGTAAACAGTCTACCTGCCTGTTTTCACATTGAGGTCTTAGCACTCGTTTTATTTCTACTGTGAGTCCTTTTCAACTGATCTACCTCCAAACTTATATCTTTTGCTGTTTATAAGAAGACACAGATGGAAAAACTAATTATATAATTCCTAATTGCGAAGTCAGTAAAAAAAAAAAAAAAAAAGTGTTTATGGATGTCTTTCTGTCCTTAGAGATGTTCAAGTATTATGATCAGAAATTTTGATTAATTCCCTTGCTGATCACATTTTACCTAAAACTAAATAGGAATGTTCCCAAAAGAAATTCAATTAAAAATGTCTTTGCTTGAAAAAATAGCTGGCCAAATTTATACAGATGTTCTTGAATTTTTCGAACTTTTGATTTCTAATTTGTTCATCAATCTATAGTTATTAAAATGCATTGGGCATTGTTTTCAATTATCAAAATATTTCAATAATCATTTATAAATCTTAAAGTCTCAATATTTTATTTGTCAAAATAAAATCCATCAAACCTTCACACAGAGCCTCCTTACTCCTGCTTTCTCTAACAATCCTGGTTACCTAGTTTACTAACAATCTAGCTAATGAGCCTGCTGTTCTAAAGCAGTCAAAAGAAAATAGGATGGACAAGCCACAGCTTGAGAGAGAAACAGTAACAATATGGCATGTGGCAGCCAATGACCTTTGCAAAGCATAAGGAGAGCAATACAAAGCAGACAAGTGGAAATGTACTTACCTCTGCAAAAGGGAAGACCCAAAGCCTCCTCAGCACCTACATTCAGCCCCAAGTCTAGGATCTCTGCGTAACGTTTGTTCCTGTCTAGTTCAGTTGTAAACTTGTCCCCATAGCCCGCATGTATGCACTTGATGAACCGTCACCAACATAACCTACATGAGATAATAAGGAAAAGGGAGAGGAAAAATTAGTTAATATATTAAAGTATACCGAACATAGCAAGGAAGAAAATGTGGCATGTAACTGCAGTGCTTGTTTCTCCCGCTGGCCCGAGGCTCCTGTGGCTGTTATAATTTCCTTCCTCCGACACCCATTCCCAGTTCCCTTGTCCTCAGCCAGAACCTGAGCTGGTAGGAGCTCATTACCTGGCAGGGCAACCCCAGATTCTGTTCCTGAGAGATCTAAGCTTTCAGTGTGAAGATGCAACAGTATTCCATTAACTTTGTGCCACTGGGAGCAATACTAGGAGTTTTCCAAAAGATTCTTTATGTTCTAGAAATACCCCTTTCCCCATCATTGTACAGCAGCAGTCCTCTTGCCCTTGACTTTAAGGATCCATCATCCCAGCCTACTTGGTACACTCCTGTCTTGCCTGCTTTCTCCAGAGCCATAAGGAGCCCCGGCTTACCACGCTGTCGGTTCAGCTTCCAATTCAATGGGACCATTGTCGTGTTCTCTGATGAGAGCCTTTCTCCCTTGACCTCTAAGCCAGCAAAGACCGGGCCTGGAAAGGAAGTAAACTTGAGTTCTCAAGTGTAACAGAAAGTAAACAGCGAGGGGCATCACTCCCACTTCTACGCTTCGCTTTTTCGACCCTGCATTCTGGCTTTGAGGGAAACTGTTTATTGGTTACTGGTTCGGAGCATATGCTACACTTAGCCATCACTGAATTTTCAATAGCTTCTCTACCATTCTGCGTATCTGATAAGACCAGTGTATCCTTTAATTCAACCATTGCCTTATTTCTTGTGTGTGTGGTAAATTACCTAAGTCAAAAGTACTACTGTTTAAATGGCATGCAGTGAATAAGGCATTCAGGAAGTCCACCAATGGTGCACCCGGCAGAAGTATAGTGAGAAGGAAAGGGAAATCCACATTTACAAGTGTCTAGTCCTCTGAGAATAAATCCTATCTTTCCTGATGGAAGGGTCCAGTGTAATCAGCCTCCCACCAGAGAGACTTTTCTCTCCGAAGTATTTAGGGTTGCAAACTCAAACATAGCCAGGTTAGTTTTGATGAGGGTGAAGTTCATGCTGATGATGAGTCCACTCAAAACAACCTCTGTCTCTGCCGCCCTGATAACTTAGTTTATGGATCCAGTGAGCAGGCACTGGGGTGACCAGAGAAAGCCCAGCTGATGCTCACAGACTCGCTCATTTTATCTACCTCGTTAACGAGAACATTCTCAGTCATGGGGTTTTCTTGGTGAGTATTCTGTGGGGTACAAAAAACCCTCCCACTCTGCGGCCATTCTCAGAGGCTGAGAAAGCAGGGTTTTTGGAATCTACGTTGGGGAGATGAGATATAGGGTGGGTGTTCAAAAGATACTGGGCAGGCACAAGGGACAGTGGAGTACTACAATATACGAACACATTAAAAGCACCAAGAGCGAAGGCTTTAGGTGATAACATGTTCATGTAAGTTCATCAGTTGTAATCAATACACAGTCCGGTGGGAGATCTTGACAGTGGGCGAGGCTAAGGATGTGTGAGGGGAAAGGGTATGTGGGAAGTCTCTCTACATTCCTCTCAACTTTGCTGTGAAACTAAAACTGCTCTAAAAAAGTATCTTTTTAAAAAAATGTACAAGGCCCAGCCTCCTTTGACCACCACCCCACCAATCCCAGTCTCCTTCCGTGAGAGAACTACAGGTACCACTTTGGTGTGTCTCCTCGAGTCACACCTTTTGGCATTTACATAATTATATAGGCATTTACATAATTTTATAGGCACCTATTGAAAATATATTGTGTTATTTTATGTGTGGATACATTTGATTTAGTATTAGGCAAGTGCTTTTTATCTCTGTATAACCTCTAGAGATTATAAATTCAGATCTACCTCATTTTTAATTTCTCATAGCGTTCCACAATATGAATATATCATAAATTATTTAGCCATTCTCGTAATAGTCCTCCCCTCTTTTTTGTTTTTGCATTAACTGTAAGTAATGAATATGCTTGTATAGACTTGCTTGAGCTCATACATGAATGTTTCTCTGCGGAAAATCTAAAAGGAAGTTATGGGTCACAATATATAAATATTTTTAATTTTGGTAGATATAGCCCCAGTGCTACATATTCTCTTGGTAGTGGCTAAAAGCATCTAATTCCCCATACTCTTGGCCAACTGTATTATAGTATCCAAGCGTATAATTTTTGCCTATCTAATGAGTATCTTGGTTATTAGAATGCATTTCTCTGCTTAGGTTGAGTACTTTTTTCTTAGGTGCTGCCATTTTCATTCCTTTTCTGTTCTTATACTTTCTTTATCCATTTTTATTGTTTTTATTGTTCTTGGCTATAAATTCTTAGTTGTTCTTTATGTTCTATGTAGTAATCCTTTACATATCTTTATTGCAAGTATTTCCTCTAATCTGTGTTTTATTTGAGATTTTTATGCTGTCCTATCATCACATTTTTTATTTGATGTTATCATATTTCCTTTTGGTTTTTGACTTTTCAAAGAAAAATCTTATTTAAGATGTTTTTTCCTACCACTGAAAGAAAAAAAAATTCTTAATATCTGTATGTATTTCCCTATTCTTTAGATTTTAATCCATGAAATTATTTTGTAAGTAGTACGAAACAAATCTATTTTTTTCCCAAATGGCTAGTGAATTTTTCCTGCATTGTTTATTTTTTTCTGTTTTTTTAATTTTTATTGAATTTATTGGGATAACATTAGTTAATAAAATTATATAGGTTTCAGGTATACAATTCTACAATACCTAATTTGTATGTTATATTGTGTGTTCACCACCCCAAGTCAAGTCTCCTTCCATCACCATTTATTCCCTTTAACCTTCTTCTACCCACCTCAACCCTTCTTCCCTCTTGCATTGTTCATTGAAAAGTAAATCCTTCTCTGCTGATTTAAAATGCCTCCTTTTCATAAACTGAATTTCCATATACATATAGTTGTATTAGTCTACTTCTCTTTTCCTGTCTCATTGTTATACTGTATTAATTTGAAAAGATGTTCAATTTAATCTTTTCTTTATTTTCAGAAAGCTTCCTATTGAACAATTCTATTATTTGACACAGAACAAAAAAAGTGACATCTATGGAAATGATTCTTTGTAAGTTTTGGGTTTATTTCCCTTATATAAGTGAAAATGAGTTACATGAGAAATAGAAAGCCCCCAAATGGGAACTTTTAGAAAACACATGTTCCTTTTTTTAAAGAGTGTATTAATAATAAAAACCAAAGCCAAACAAATGACAAAAATAAAACAAATAAGCCTAAAACACACTAATTGGTTGTGGTATTTAAACAAGAAAAAATAAGAAATATGAAAGAGTAATGTTTGCAAGGATTCATACAGGCCATCTTGGTCCATTTCCCTGCCTTTGACCTAGTTACTCAATCTAATAAGGATGTTACATTTCTTTAAATGTTCATAGAAAATTCCCCAGTGCCCTCAACAAAATTTTTAATTAAAATTTTATAAGATGTTCATTATGATAATCTACAAATAGTAAGATTACTCCCTAAGTCTCTTTTGGATAAGGAATACTTTGGTAATTATTTTTTATTTGTTGAAACACTTTGTTGTATATAATATAAAAATCATACTTTTTAATTTTCAGATAAAAATAAAACATTGACAATATTGAAGTAAGAATGGAAATATCCCTTCTTTGCCTTTAACAATTAGAATCATTAGGAATCTGTTTATAGGTAGGAAGTTAATATAAAGCTTAGCCACAAGAGGGAGCCAAAAAGACACATTTGTGGTTACTAAAGCCTGTTTATCCCCTTGGAAAAATAGTTAACTTAGAAAAATAGTTGTTCCTGGGCAGCATAATTAGTAAATATACAACCTTCAAATGACCTGATTCAGAAAAGGCATATCTTCAGAAGCTTGTCGGTTTTGTCCTAGCCTCTCTGTCAGCTGGGAGAGATCAGCAATCCTCGGCAAAAGGTCGAAGAACATACGGTACTAATATGTCTTCTCCAACCAGGCCACACTCAGGTCACTTTAGGTCATGTAATTGCACCACATGCATGGTGACAGGCTGCCTCAGAGAAATTTTGCTACCACCTGACTATGAGGGTGAATTTCAGAAGAACCAGAGCTCTATGATTAGAAGTAGGCCGTCCTAACTGCACTGCAAAGAAGAAAGGCAAAACATCTACTACATTAGGCCACTCACCAAGCTTGGAAGACATAGCAGCTCTACCTAATACATAGAAACAGACACAGGAGGCTGCCAAAATGAGAAGACAAGAAACATATCCCAAATGAAATAACAGAACAAAAAGCAAAAAAAAAAAAAAAAATGGAGACAAGAAATCTACTAGATAGAGAGGTCAAAGCACTGGTTATGAGACTCAAGGAACTTAGTGAGAACCTCAACAGCATAAAAAAGGACCATTCAGAAGTAAAGGATACACTAACTGAAATGAAGAATAATTTACAGGGAATTAATTAACAGTAGAGTAGATGAAGCCAAGAATCAGATCACCAATTTGGAACACAAGGAAGCGAAAACACCCAATTAGAACAGCAAAAAACAAAAAAGAACCTGAAAAATATGAAGATAGTGTAAGAAGTCTCTGGAACAACTTCAAGCATTCCAACATTCACATCATGGAGGTGCCAGAAGGAAAAGAGATAGAGCAAGAAATTGAAAACCGATTTGAAAAAATAGTGACAGAAAACTTCCCTAACCTGGTGAAGGAAATAGAACATACAAGTCTAGGAAGCAGAGAGAGTCTCAAACAAGATGAACCCAAAAAGGCCCACACCAAGACACATAATTGACAAAAATATTGGGTTGGCCAAAAAGTAAGTTCGGTTTTTCCATACGATTGCTCTAGTAGCACTTAGTTGTCTTTAACTTCATTCAAAAACAATTGTGTTAGCTATATTGTGACAGCTGTCATAACAGCGTACATATAAAAAAACTTAGCAAAATTGATAAATTTTTGAGTTGCCATTTTAATATTGAAGATGGAAGAAAATATGCAACATTTTCAGCATATTATGTTTTATTATTTCAAGAAAGGTAAAAACACAACTAAAAGATTTGTGCAGTGCAGAAAAAAGGTGCTGTGACTGATCGAACATGTCAAAAGTGGTTTGCAAAGTTTTGCACCAGAGATTTTTTTGCTGGACCATGCTCCACGCAGTCCAGTTGAAGTTGATAGCGATCAAATCAAGACATTAATTGAGGACAATCAACATTATACCATGCAGGAGAATGCCAACATACTCAAAACATACAAATCAATAAAGTTACTGGTGAAAATGACTTTTCACTTTCTCACAAAAACTAAACAGACTTTTTGGCCAACACAATAAATAAGGTTAAAGATACATCGAATATGAAAAGCAGCAAGAGAAAAGCAGTTAGTTAAGTACAGGGGAGCTCCCATAAGACTGTCAGCTGATTTCCCAAAAGAAACTTGCAGGCTAAAAGGAATTGGCAAGAACTATTTGAAGTCACGAGAAGCAGGGACCTACAGCCAAGACTGCTTTACCCAGGAAAGCTATCATTTAGAATCGAAGGGCAGATAAAGAGCTTCCCAGACAAGAAAAAGCTAAAGGAGTTCATCATCACCAAACCATTATTATATGAAATGTTAAAGGGACTTATTTAAGAAAAAGGTCAAAACTATGAACAATAAAATGACAACAGATACATATCAATAATTGACTCTAAAAAACAAAGTAAGCAAACAAGAACAACAGAGACAGAATCATGGATACAGAGAGCATTATGATGGTTGCCGGATTGATGGGGCTGTGGGGGAACGGGTGAAGAGGTGAGGGGGTTAAGAAGTACAAATAGGTAGTTACAGAATAGCCATGGGATGTAAAGTGCAGTATAGGAAATGGAGCAGCCAGAGGACTTATACGCATGACCCATGGACATGAACAGTGGTGTGGGGATGGCCTGAGGGAGGGGCGGGGGGGGCGGGGGGGTGCTGGGTGGAGGGGAACAAAGGGGAAAAATTTGGGACAACTAATACCATAATAAAATATAATTTTAAAAAAGATTTTATAAAGTCAGTATTATCTTAAAGACACGGTAGTTGGAAAATGGATTTTTAAAATTCTTATGCAAGTTTCTAATAGGAATGTAAGCTTTAAAAAGTCCATAATAAAAATTAGGATTTGTTTCCTGTTTTTATTCTAGGATGCCCAAACCACCTCACTCAGCAGTAGAGTAAGTATATAATGTGTGTTTTCCTTCCTTGTTCTATTTAAGAAAAAAGTATTGGCAATCTGCGGGTCTTAGTTTGAGGACAAATGAGACTTTCATTAAAGGTTTTTTAACAAGTGGCAGGAGAGACTGGCAGAAGTCCAAGGTAACAGTATTACTCATTTCCCCCAATTATATCCCCTGCTATTCTTTTTTTTTTTTTTCCCTAATCCTCATTGAGGATATGTTTATTTTTTTTCATTTTAGAGAGAGAAGAAGAGGGGGGAGAAAAACGATATGAGAAATTTTCATTAGTTGCCTCTCATACACATCCTGACCAGGGATCAAACCTGCAATCTAGGTATGTGCCCTGACCACAAATAAACCCATGACCTTTTGTTGTTGTATGGGACAAGCCTTCAACCAACTGAGCCACCCAGCCAGGGCACTAATCTCGCCTTTTCTTACTTTGTTTTCTAATTATATATAAACATTTCTCTATTCTATGTATTTCCTAATCTCCATTTTCTTCTAATTTAGATAGCTCTCACAGTGTTGTTTTTTTTTTAAGCCTCTGCTAATTTGTCAAAATAGGAAAATTATATCCTTGCAATCTTTTTAACTTGTTGAATTTTCTTTCTTTGAGTGTGCTAGTTACCTTTGGCTTTTTTATTTCTGAGCAGCATTGTATACATAGCCAGGCAGGATATTTTGTTGATTGATTGCTTAAAGAAATAGATGGCCTGCCCAAACCAGTATGGCTCAGGGGGTTGAGTGTCGTCCAGAAAACCCAAAAGGTTGCCGGTTCAATTCCTGGTCAGGACACATGCATCGGTTGCAGGCCAGGTCCCTGGTGGGGGTATGCGAGAGGAAACTGATTGATGTTTCTCTTGCGCATCAATATTTCCATCCCTCTCTTTCTCCCTCCCTTCTCCTCTCTCTAAAAATAAATAAATATAATCTTTTTAAAATACTTTTTAAATTTTATTTATTTACTTTTGGAGGGGAAGGGAAGGAGAAAGAGGGGGAGAGAAACATCAATGTGTGGTTGCCTCTCGTGAGCCACCGACTGGGGACCTGGCCTGCAACCCAGGGATGTGCCCTGACTGATAATCAAACCAGTGACCCCTTGCTTCGCAGGCTGGCACTCAATCCATTGAGTCATACCAGCCAGGGCAATATAAATAAAATCTTAAAAAAAGAAAGAAAGAAAGAAAGAAACAGATGGCCTGGGTTGAAAGTTCAATCCAAGATGGTCAGAGATCACTTTGCGTACTGAAGCTAAATGCCCAAAAGTGATTCCATAAAATAAAGTACTCAAACCCTCTTAAAACAAGAGGCGAGAATTAAAAACAACTAGAAATTTTAAAAACTGTAAAATTCATATATCTTCTACTTCATATTTTTATGTCAATTGTATAAGTTATTCACTGATAATTCACTATCATTAACTTTAAAAATTATGGTAAATTTAGTTTTGATTTGTCTAGCAAAATTAAGAAAATTTCAGCCCTGGTTGGTGTGGCTCAGTGGATTGAGTCCAGCCTCAAACTAAAGAGTCACTGCTTTGATTCCCAGTCAGGACACATGCTTGGGTTGCAGGCCAGGTCCCCCGTAGGGAGGGCGTGAAAGGCAACCACACATTGATGTTTCTCTCCCTCTCTTTCTCGCTCGCTTCCCCTCTCTCTAAAAATAAATAAATAAGATCTTTAAAAAGTTTTCTGACGTCTCATGGCATGTATTCCGTCAGAATGCTAACTGCGTGAGCGTAGGGACTTGGGCTCACTGTCACATCTCCAGGGATTAGACCAGGACCTGCCACAGAGAAGGGTTCCAATGAAGGCTTGATGATTAATTTTTTAAAATTGCTCTTTTGTTTTGTTTTGTTTGCTCAACTAAATCTCAGCAAAATCTGCTCCCCGTATCCAATCGAACACCCCTACCACACACACATCTGTCGCGGCGCCATGTTCCCGACCTTCACATCACCGAAGGATCCCTACACTGGCATTAAAGCCCGAAGCCAGCGGCCATTCCCACCCACTGTGCCAACGAAGGCTTATGATACAACGGTTTTGAAGACAAGAGGTAAAATAGGATTTAAAATCAGAACAGTGTTAATTCTTCTTATATTTGGAGTTTATTCAGTAATAAAATTAAAGGAAGTAGGGCGAAGGACTCGAGTCACAAAAGTGTGACCCATCAGATTAGAAAAGTTGTTCTCAGCTGTGGCTGCACTTTCGAATCAGCTGGGACCTCACCACCAACCAATTAAATCAGACTCTCTGCAGAAGCTCTTAACTTTTCTTCTTTATACACAGCTTCCCATGGTAGAACCAGAAACAAACATTGTAGTATTGGTTATTTTTATTCTACTTATATTTTGTTTTTAGTTTCCTTTTTGTTCCTATGGTTTAGCTTTTAAAAATTCCATCCTAGCTCAGGCAATCAGCACAAGGGACAATGGTGGGTTCATGGCATCAGAGTCTTGGACGTGGAGGTAGCAGCCCTGATGAACGCGAAAGATCCTCAGTGAAATAAGGCTCAGAAAGTGATGGGAGCAGTTTGTTCAGTTCCTCTTAACACCTGGGAGCATTTTATCACAGAGGCAAACATTGGGGTCTTCCCAGAGGAGTTTTATTACAAAGGATGGTCAACCCATGCGCTGATCATCAAGTCCCTCCCACACTGGACACCTCAAGACAGAGAAGGAACCTATGGCCACAGAGTGAAGGCAACTGAAGGTGACAGAGAAGGTACATGGTAGGCAGAGATAAATATTTGTTGAATGCATGTGGTCTGTGTGGAAGGTCAGAGCCAAGAGCTGTCCTTTGGTGCTGGTCCCCTGCACATGAATAATTGAACCCACATGTAAGAACAGACACTGCCATCATCACTGTCAACCTCAGGGCCTCATTAGGAGACGGTAACATTCTGAGAATCGTTACAATGGAATGTGTAAGTGCAGGGACTGTGGAGTCAGGCTGCAGGGGTAGAATTCTGGCTCTGCCACTTACTCACCATGGACCATGGGCAAGTTTCTTCACTTCTGTGCCTCCACTTCCCAATCTGTAAAATGGAAATATGAGTACTACTTCATGGATGATAGAGATAAGTGTCAGCAGTTACTATTTTTCATACTCAGTTACCCACAGTCAATCATGGTCTGAAAATATGAAATGGAAAATTCCAAAATAAACCATTTGTAAGTTTTAAATTGCACACCATTCCGAGCAGTGTGATGAAGTCTCCCAGTGTCCTGCTCTGTCCCACCTTGATGTAAGTCATCCCTTTGTCCTGCCAGGTGGCTCTGCGCGTCCACATTGTCCATGCTGCCCACCCATGAGTCACTGAGAAGGCATCTGGGTTATCAGACTGAAAAAAAAAAAGTGTATGGAGTTCAGTACTAGTTTCGTGTATCCTCTGCAGATAAGGGAAGAACACTGTACCACCAGTACCTAGGAAACTGTATTCTTTAAAATGTTTTCTTTCAGTACCTTTTTAGTCAGCAAGTACTAACTCCATTTCCTGATATTTAGGCAGGGAAAAGCCAAAGCAGTTAGTTTAGAATTATATTCACTTAAATGAGAAGGAGGATCCAGGATGATTTATAATTTACCTAAAAACTTCTTTCACCAACAAGAAAGGTAAAGGACCAGTCACCCTCCCTACTGCTGGGAGCACTAGGGTTAGAGAGTCACACTGTTCAGGTAGCCCACATGCTGTGCTTTAAGGAGGCGCGGAGGGGCAAGAAGTCAAACAAAGTTGTAAGTACATAGCAAAAATGTGCGCCTGCATTTCTCTCTACTTCCCATTATCTTGTTTCTATTTATTGCACCCATAAATCCATTAATTAGAAGACTATTTTTACATATTCAGGATAACAGTGCTTTCCTGAAAATTTCAGGTAATCCTTACAGATATGAACTGCTTGATTTTCCCATGGATTCAAAGAAGAGAGCCTTGATTTGGCCAGGTCAGGGTGTATATTATGATGTGAGTATCTTTTTAAATGTGTTTAAAACAAAGTATAAAAAGTTTTTATAGGTTTATAAAAATCAAAAAAATGATTGTTTTTATATTCTTCCTAGGTGAAAATTTTGAGATTTTTGACCAGGATTCACTTTTTTGTTGTTTTGTTTTCTTACCGGATTTCAGATACTTTTGGCAGTTATGTAACATTTCCAGTTACAAAAAAAGGTTCCTCCTGAAAGAAGGTGGAAAAAAACTGTGTTTCACTGACTGTGTCCTCCACCTCTATCCTTATGATCCGTAATAGAGCAAGCAACTCCAAATATGCATAGAGTAACTGGGAGATTTTTCAGAAAAATTCACAATTTCTTGTGCTAACCATTATTTGTGTAGAATCAAAAATAAAATAAAACAATAGCCTCTGTTTATAAGAAATTGCTACACACACTAACCATTTCAGACCACTTAATACGCAGTACATCACTTAGCCCTCACAATAAGCCCATAAGGTTAGTATCGGCATCCCCATTTCATAGATGAGGAAACCGCCTCAGAGTTTGTGGCTATCTTATTATAGTAGTCAGGCTTGTGAGACTTCAGTCTCCAATCTTAACCTTCATACCATGACTCCACATGGATAAAAAAGGAAAAAAAAATTTTTTGAGAGTATGTTTTTTAAAGCTGGGGACAGTGGAATAAAGGAAGGGCTTAGGATGGAAGAAGCAACCACAGTGAGCCTAGGTGGGGCCGCTTTGGCTCCCTTGAAGCATTATGGGAGAGGAGTGAGCCTAGGCGGGTCTGCTCTCAGCTCAGCGGAGAGTCAGAGAAAAGGGGCCCCTGGAGCCAGGTTCAAGGGGTCAGCTCAGGAGAGCTGCGGCTGCCCATGGTTCCCCAGGTTGCAAGTCTCATGGGGACCGTTAGAACTTGGGGAAAGAAGCCCGCCTGAGAAAGAAAGGGGAAGGAAAGGCGTGGGCATGCTCCCGGGAGGGAGAGGGCCAAAAAAGAAAATTTTAAATCATGAAGGAAAATATCTAGAAAGTTCAAAATAATACTAGTGAACGTTCATTGGCCAGTGAGTTTGTGAGGGGCAGTGCCAAGCGTTTCCCAGATGTCCCTCCTCGCACCTAACAATCTGTGAGGAAGGCAGGAAATAACTATGGAAGGCGGGGAACATGGGCCTTCCACTTAGACCGCTGTGGCAGGCCACAGTGCGGTCGCTGCAAGGCTGCACAGTCGTCTATAAAGTAAGCCATTTCCTGATTGTGTGTTCTAAAGTGATACATCAAGAAAAAGTCCTTAAAGAATCATCTATTTTACGGGATCTCTTTCATTCTTTCAGACAAAATCTAAGCAACCCAGAAATACGAGAAGTTGCTCTAGAGATCATTCTATCGTTACATGTTCACACAGCCAAAGCTTCCCTCTCTGGAGTTTAGTCCCTTCTTTCAGTTTCCCTCATTTCTAACTGCTCGTTACAATGTTGCTTTCCCCATGTCACACCCCTTTTGCAACAGCCTTGTCTAGCTCCCCTTTACCTAAGGGTAAAGCCCGGTCCTTTCACAGAGCGGCAAAGACCCTTCAGGACCTGGCCGCTCTCCCTCCCCAAGCCTGGCTCCGCTTGCCGGTCCTCCAACAGGCGCACAGCCAAGGCCTGTTCCAGAATTCCCTCCCTTCCTGGCCTCTCATCTGTCTAAAACTTGCTCACGCTTCAAAGCCCAGCTCAACTCTCACTGTGTCTGTTGCCTGGAATTTCTTTGCCCCCACTCCTGGTGAGATAGTGAATCGGCTCTTGTTCTACTAGATGGCATTAATAGCAATAATCTTTTATGTTCATATTCTAGTTTCATAAATGTGTTGAGAAAAACAAGCAAATATTCTACCCCAAACCTCCTAAAACCTTCGTTCCTAACACTTCTTTAAATTCCTGGGATCCTATTAACTCTCTAAAAGAAGCCAACATACAAAGAAACCTTGAGAAGTCTCACTGGATTACTTCATACACTCATGATTTCACAGGTATGAGTTCACTTTAATACAAGTAAAAAGAACACAATTAGGTAGTTGACAAATGCTGTTACAGGCTTTCATCTTCTAATATCTCCCCCCGTCTCTTAATCTAAGTACTAACAGAAGTTAAGGTCAGTAGTGAGTTTCTCTTAGCAGGTAACTAGGAGGTAAAGTTGGTTTCCAGTTTATTGGTCCTAATTATATTACAAAGGGGAATGGGTAAGTTTTTCTCTAAGAGATCATTTACATGCCATTTTTTGTTGAACCAAATAATAAGATGTGATGTTTCCATTAAGGTCTGGGGCCCATGAACCCCCTTGAACTGGATGATTACCATGAAAAGGAGGTGGCAGAGTTAACTGGAGAGACAGGATTCGACCCAAAGCCTGTAAGTAATTGCAATCAGCTCTTGGTTATTTGGGGGAAAAGTATCCATGTGTTGGGCTCTTTCTTGGTTTGCCCACCTCTTTTTGAGTATTGGTGACCAAACTAGAAAAAGGAAAATTTAACTCATTTTAGAAGTTAATTCTGAATTCATTTGAGCTGGTTTGAGTACCTTTCTCCACTATTTTGAAGAAAAGCAAGGTTTCATTTTTTCATCATGATACTGGTTGATTTGATTTTAATAGATTTTAAACTATATCACTGTTGCTAAAATTTACAAAGGAATTGATTTACAAAAGCTTACTAGTAATTTAATGAGATTCTTAAATTCTGTGACTCTGCATATTTGTATATCTTGTCCATTATCACTGCTTTTGAAGAGATAAAGACTTCTTCCTGAAATCCACAATAATTGAGATTTGGCTGGATTACAATCAAAAGCCAATAAATTCTCGTAAATATCACGTTTCTTAATTGATTATGTGAAATGGCCTGAAAGTAATGATCATGTTATTTAGTGACAGAAGCTATAAACTGTTGGCTTAATTATGTAAATGAAGTTAAATGCCTTAATAATATTCATTTATTGTTTTATTTGGAGTCTAAATTTTATCCTCTAAAGCTATAAAATTTTGAAAACAAAAGTAACAGTTTCAAAGTTGTAAATTGTGGAAAAACACATAAAAAAACTATAAGCTATTTCCCTATGAACTCTTTTTATGCTCAACTGTATACTTTTTTTTACATTAGCTTTAGTATTTCCCAAAGCAATATAAAATCATTAACACCAGAAGTAGTTCTATAGACTGTGCTGTATCATTCCCTGAGGGGTTTTTTATTGTATTTTTCACTTGCAACAAGCATTCCCTAAGGCTGGAAAAGATGACATGTATACTATGACATTGTCAAATGTGTTCAACAACTGTCCAGATTTCCACAGATTTGACCCCGTAGGGTCCAGCCCCTCAGGAGCAGCTTTATCACTTTTATTAAATACATGTGTGGTTACAAAGGATCCTTGTCAAGTATATGACATGCAAAATCACTATGCAAGTAAATCAACACCTAAGTATTTATTAATAAGATAAAATATGCCTAAGATAGTAGGAGTTTTCAATGAATCTTGCTGGTTTCAGACTAAAGCATAAACAGATCTGGGAAGGCATGTTTTAGATGTAATAAGTATGTATATGAAATATTTTGCTTTAGTAGAATAAAATAGTGGTGTTAAAACTGCTTCTTGCATAAAGGGATACTGTCAAAGTAGGATATGATACACCCTGTATTTTTTGTTTATGACAAATTAAACAAAGCATTTCAAAGAGCTAGGGGGTTTTTCCCCCTTTTTTCATAGTGTTTACTCGAACCTGATTAGTTAAAGCTTGTAACAGATTTGTTAATATCAGTATGGAAACTTCTCTAACTATGAACAAAGTAGGTTCCAAAAGAATGTTCCTAAGTCCATTTTTTTTCCAAGTCCAAACTACTGTTTCTTCCTCACCATTCTCATTTTTATCTCTGCTATCTATTCCATCATCGTCATATATCCATTCTTCTTCCGTTTTTCCTTCAACATATAAAAATTTTCAAACACAGAAGAGTTTAAATAATTTTACAGTTAATATGCATATGCCCATCCCCTAGCATCTACCATTGGCATTTTACAATGCTTATCACATAATTCATTTTTCCATCCCTCCAACCACTCCATCAATATACTTATTATTTTTATTTTTTTTTTAAGATTTTATTTATTTATTTTTAGAGAGAGGGGAAGGGAGGGAGAAAGAAAGGGAGAGAAACATCAATGTGCGAGAGCTACATCAATCAGTTGCCTCTTGCTTGCCCCTTCCAAGTCACCTCCTCCCCTCTCCCTCCTGCCCCCACAGACATGTATCGATTAATAACCCTTTCAACACACTCACTACTTTTGCAGTTACGGACATGACTGAGTTCACAATTTTTATAAAACATCTCAAAAAACAAGAATAGATATGACTGATCCCCTTCAGCCCAATGTTTCTCAAGCATGTAGTATCCCTAGCCTGCGCATCACCAAGATGCTTGTTAAAAAAGCAGATTCCCAAGTCCCACTGCAGACCTTCTGACTCCATCTCAGAGATCAAATTTAGGAACCTCGGTTTCTGCCAGCTCCAAAGCTGATTCTGATTCAGCTAAGATTTAAGAACTCTTGCGTTGGCCTAATAAAGAAGACTTTGACAGAGATGTAAATAACTGCCCGTAACTGTTAACATCATCTGTTGGTGATGGGCAAAAGTTTTGTTCCAGTGACTTATTTTTTTAATCTTTGAAAGTTTGAAAGCAAAGAGTTGCTACGTAGAGGAATTTCTTTATCACCAAATAAAAATATGCCCTTTCCATATTAGCAAAAATTTGTAGAGGAGAAACCTGTGTTTATTAGGACCCAAATTTCAGTATCTAAAAATCAAAGAACAGTGGGATGGTACTGCTACACCCATTCTGCGTTTACTGTGACAGTGAGAATGGGTGTGGCTTTTGGTTTGTCATTGTGGCAATACCCTTATAATGTCATGTTTATTAACTCATCACTTTTCTCCTTTTTATCCCTCCACTACAGCCAGAAAAATCCCATCCTGCCTTAAAACCCCCCAGACCGTTGGAAGGACGAATTGCTCGATTGCTTCAGAACCGACGTCCCCTGGAGGCTGTTGTCCAGCAAAGACCGCCTTCCTGTCCTGATTGTACCCCTAGAGTTTTGTGTAACTTTCACACCTTCATACCCAGTTCTACAGAAATGATAGCACTTAGTGGTAACACACCAGCAGGTATGACCAGTAAATACCAGGATATTGAAGACAAGATTAAGGAAGAACAAAGCCTGTTACCTCCCTATGCACAACCACCTTGTTACCCAACGAAAGATCTGACTGACATTTATGGCATACAGCCATTTCCAAAAATCACAGATACGAAAAAGACAGATGATTTGTACTGGAGACAGCTATCACTGAAACCCCACCCCATACCTTACTGCAACGCAAGCCATTACATACCCTATGAACATGTTAAACCTGCCTTCCATGACCCATATGCTATGTGTCAAAATCCTGTTAGCCTTAGTAAGCCTAGTATTTTACAAAATAAGCCAGACTCAGCAGCTTTGGATCTAGAACGTGTTTTAAGTAAGCCAGAAGAACCGTGGGCCTTTAGCACGGAAAACGATGAAGAAACAAAATCACTTCTGGGTTGGATTCCTCGAGTTGGAGAGGCCAAGCCTCAAACTGACCTGCTGGAGCTCAAGAACTCTTTTTCCAAAAGTGGTGCACAAAAGCGCTTCCATAAATCGATTCTAGAAGACCATAAAGACCTCAGGGATAAGATGCATTCAGGGATGAAACACCAATTCTATGACCATAATTCCTGCTATTTCTATAATTGAGATAATCATCCTTCCCTTCAAAACCCAGCCTCCTGCAAGAAAAGAAAATATAATAGAATGCCTTCCTTGTTCCTGGATTCTGTTTTATAGAGGAGCCATAATGACCTAGTTAATGAGGTTTATGTTTTCAGGAAGTTAGGATCTGGTCAGAGGAACCCAGAAAAGGTGATTTTTGACTTCCTGAAAAGTGAACAATTTGGCAATAAAATATTAGAACCAGAAAAACTTATAGTCTTTAATCTCATTTTCGTATTATCCTCCAAGGAATTTTCTAAAACCATGAAAAACAATGTATGACAAAGTCTACATTATTATTTTAAAAAATGAATATTTGAAAAACTCAAATGCCCAGTAACTGACAGATGTCTATACAATTTATATTACCTTAATAAAATAAACACGTGGACACTATCCCTTTATGTAAATGTTTGTACAAATAACATTAGGTACAAAAGGCCAAACTCCAATGCCCAGTTAACTGAGGGATGGACACAGCTCTGCAGACTGCATCACCTTAATAAAGTAAGTGCGTGGGTCCTGTTTTCTTTATGTAAGTGTGGGCAAAATAAGTAGAAAAAGATGAAACCCAAAATGCTCTGCATACACACATTCTAAGCTGGATGTTTCTTTTCCTTTAACCTTCTGGCAAAGAAACATTTCTTTAATGCAGAAAAAAAGAAAATGATTGTAGTGTGACCATCTGGCAGTGGGTTTAACTAGTGACTGGGGAGTTCTCGTTGTGGTAAGAAAGGATGGTGTCTTGGTCCATTTTATAACAAAATACCATGTACTGGGTGGCTTATAAACAGTAAACCTTTCTCACATTTCTGAAGGTTGGCAAAGTCCGAGGTCATGGCGCTGGCAGATTTGGTGTCTGGTGAGGTTCTCCCTGTCATCTCATGGTAGAAGTGAGGAGGGGCCTCTCTGGGGAACCTTTTATAAGGGCGCTGATCCCGTTCTTCAGGGTCCTGCCTTCAGGAGGAATCACCTCCCAAGGCCCCATCCTCATAAATAACTTTGGAGGTTAAGGTTTCAACAAATGAATTTCAGGGTGCACATTTAGACCAAACAAATGGCTTGATATCATTACCCTAAAGCCAAATGTCATACTTTTTGGACAGCCTCCACAAGAGTTTAGCTCGCCGTAGCCGGAGGTGAATTTTTAATGCGCCAATGTTACAGGGGAGTTCTGGCGAGATGTGCTGGGGAGTGGGGAGGGAAACCAGCAGCGTGGGAGAGTCTGCCTTCCCCTGAGAAGGGAGGGGTGGGGAAGTACCCGAGGCGGCAGAATTGAAGCTGTGGCTTGTGCGATAGATTTACATACCCCTGGCGTAACGATAAACTAGCCTGGCCTGTGACACAGCAGGAGGAAGCTTGCACATGGCAAGCGCGGCTGAGAAGTTCACAACACACATGTACCATGGAGGTTAACACGGTGGCAGGAGAAGGGCCCTGCACAGGGCATGTGCCAGGGTACTGAAACATTTGGACAGAGGAAAAGGCCCTCCTGCTTCCTTCTGGAGTGCCTAGGATTTTGGGTCAGGAGTTTTTAACAGAGGGAGGCGGAGACTCGGCCCTTTTTCCCCTGTTTCCCCTCGCTAGCCTAGTCAGGAGCCCAGGCATTCCCAGGCAGCGAGGCCTGGGAACCACATGGTCTGGCAGAGTTCCCAGGTCCCTGCTGGTGCAAGAAGCAGCGGTGGCACAGACAACTGGCACTGCGCTGCAAGGTCCTGCCCAGCAGGTGCACGGATGCGCTGGCGATGGCCTGAGGGATGCGGCGCAGGCATTGGGCGGCAGGCAGGAGCAGAGAGAAGGGCAGCGTGCGACAAGGACTCCAGCAAGCGTGCAGACTCCAGGACGATGCCTGAACCCAGACTGTGACCAGGAACCAGCCAAGCCGCCTGGATGATCTTGTTGCATCTGCCTGCATTTCCCAAAGGACAGGATTTTTAAACGGGAATAAAATTCCCATTATGTGCAGCTTAGAACTAATCTGGCAAAGGGTGGCAGGGTTATTTGTCTTTGGGTGTTTTAGAGGGAAAGAGCTCTGAGGCAGAATCCTGCCATTCTTCCAAAATCGTGTAACTTCTTAATAAATAACCCCTTTCCTTTTTCACCAAATCTCAGCCTCCAGAGTTTGCCTGTTGGGCAGCAGGCAGTAGAACCCCCACTTGCTGTTCGTTAACACCAAGAGGTATATTTTAGACATAGTTTATCATGAAAAGTTCCTAATAGTTTATCATGAAAAGTTCCTAAGGGATTTCTAGAAGGGTTCTGTTCTCCTTCTTCTGCTTTTGTGTCGTGACCAACATGTCATTTGGTTATGTCCTCTTTAAAACTATTCTGGGCTAAAATTATAGAATTTTTTCCAAACTTTTCTATAGTACTAGTTATAGTAGATATTATGGGAAGCAAAATGTTACACGGTAAAATAATATTGGGAAAAACTGGGGCAACAAAGGCAATTGTATGACTTTACCACAGGATTCTCCATAGCCTCATGTCCAAGGTGAAAGGGATGGAGTATACACATTTCTCAAACTTAATTTGATCCTTTTATCATAAAGCGTGTCATTGGACTAGAATTGCAAAGAACTGTGGGAGACGCAACTTCGCAGACTAGGAATTGGGGGTTTTGACTGCCCATTTCCCCCCGGACTGCAGGGGCAGAGAACTGCATTCCGACTCGGTATTCACTCCACCCACCTCCGTGTAGCAGCGGCACAGCCTTCTCCTGAGACGTCTGTCCTAGTCATCCTCAACGCGCATGAGATGTCAAGCCTTACTCCTAACCCTGCTGTTGCTAAGGCTAATGGATCTGGCCTTCATAGGTGACAGAGAATACCTGCACTCCAATTATGCTCATCATACCATCAATTTTGAAAAAAATGTATGCAGGTTTCCAGATTAAGACAGATTGAGTCCATGCATCTACTTTCACTTACTCTAAGAAGTTCATGAGCGTTGGCAGGTGTGGCTCAGTGGATTGAGCACTGCCTGTGAACCAAAAAGTTGCCAGGTCGATTCCCAGTCAGGGCACATGCCTGGGTTGTGGGCCAGGGCCCTCGTTCGGGGCATGTAAGAGGCAACTGATTGATGTTTCTCTCACACTCTGATGTTTCTTTCCCTTTCTCCCTCACCTCTCTCTAAAAATAAATAAATAAAATCTTTTTAAAAATAAAAAGTCCATGAGAACTTCAGTGAAGTTTTTGTTTTGTTTTTTATTGCATTTTGTGTTTGTTTTATCCTATATACAAAAGCACAACCTAGCTAGGTCAATAGAGGAGATAGGAGCTGAGATATTAGAAACATTTTTGAAAGGAGATGGAGAAAAGAAGGTGACTCCTAAATAAAGACACTGGGACCCACTGGCAGTGGGGAAAACAGCGCAGTTTGCACAACACAATCCTCAAAAGGCTCAGGAACTCAGTACCTGGAGTGTGTGAGCCCAGGGTGGTGTGAGGGTAGGGGGTTGCTCAATCAAGCAAGACTGAGTGAAAGCGAAGACACAGGTGTGCTGGGAAACACCCTGTCTGGTTTCAAGGACTGTAGTCCCGCCAACAGGCGAGAGGGCCCCACGGCTGGAGCTAATCAAGGAGCGTTTCCCAAGGAGGCCTTGGGAAGACATGCCACTGGGATAAAACTGTCCCCCTGGCAGGGGCACAGCCCCTGCCTCCCTCACATCACCCCGCTTGGCCCTGTGATGGTCAGTTTTTGATGATGAGTAAGTTCTCTCTCAAGGAGAGATGACCTAAGACAGACATCAGCTGGTATGGGCAGCGGGACAAGGACTTGGGGGCACTAGGATAAAGGACAAAAAAGCCCGCACCCCTCAGCTCGGCTTGCACTGTCCAGAGTCCTCATTCTATCTGAAAGACGTTTTCTTGTCTCTTGGTGGCTCTGCCCTGCCTGCCTGACTCAGGCTTGAAACAATACTAAAGGCAGGTAGAGGCCTAAATTGGATCAGGCAGTTCCCCGGGGGCAATCAGGCCTAGAAGTTCTGCCAGGCATGCTTTGTTCTTCCCTCTAAAGCTATGATCACTGGCTCCTACTGGGAAGGAGATTTACCTTATTCATAGACCCTGACCTGAGGCAGATCTCCTGTGTTCCTTCAATTGTTATCCACAATCCCTATTTGTTTTCTGTAAACATAGCCTTTTGACATTGATGGATGGGCTTTGCTGTGTGCCCCTGTGCAATCGGTTCTCAGTAAAAGCCTTCGGACAGGGGGGCTCAGGGCCCTCTCCCCTAGAGGGAAGAGCCAGGTCCCCTCTCCTGGCAAACAGGGAAGTGTTTGCGATGCATCGTGTGTATTCCCCCTGTAATGGGGCACAGCTAGGCCCCCCCAAAAGGGTATTTGTAACAGGGTCCAGAAAATGGGGTATCCAAGAAAAAGTATATTCTCCCCACCCCAGGGAGGGCGGCCATGGGGAATGCGACCCTTGAGCAGGGCCATTGAGTCACTTTGCATGTCAATAACAGGAGAGCTTCATTCCTCATATGCAAACAGGATTATTTTGCATATCACCAAGGCTAATCAGGAAGGTTTAAAAGACTTAATAGAGAAAGTAAGTGGGAGAAGGAAGAGGAGAGACAGGGGCCTGTGGGAGAGACAATGGGACACAGGACTCTGGGGAACAGTGTGAAGACCACGTGGAGAGAGAGGGGAGAAAGGACTCTTTTTAGTGGGCCATGAGAAGGTGCCACAGTTATGAAGTAAGAGCTGGAGATCACGGCCACCCAGCAGATGGTGCTGAGACCCGCGAGAGGCCTGCCTGGCCGAGCCCCAGACTTCTGTTCTTTTTCCTTCTGAAGGACGGTACCCCTGACAGGCCTGACTGGCCTGACTGGCCTGACTGGGTAAAGGGAGGTGTCGTAAAGGGATTTTGAGATTTGAGACATTTGGCCATTAATCAAACCCATATAACTTTTGAATAAGTAGTTCCTTTCCTTTTCACCAAACTCTGCCATTCAGAACCATAATTCCAAGGGCGGCAGGCAAAGGACCTACAACCGAGGAACCCCAGGGAAGGGGGGGCGGTTGTTTTTTCAGTAATAGCATCTGGGCACCCCACCCCACAACGGGTCCGTTTGTTCGGTGACACCCTCACCCGTGACAACCCCTGGACGGGCTCTGTGGGATTCAGAGCCGCGCTCCCCCCTCAGCTGGCTCCAGACAGCGACCCTCAGACCCAGGAGCGCCCGTGCTCCCTGCCACACAGTTGGCTGCCTGGCCCTCCCCCTGCCCCACTCCACATCCTGACAGAGTCCCGGGGGTTATTTTCTGAAGAAAGGTAAAATGGGATTTTTAGCATGAACAAGCATAGCTGAGGACTGGATACTGTTCTGAAAACGGGAACTGAATACTATTATCAATAAGGATCCTAGCCGGCAACAGACCTTCAAAGGCTTCCATTCCACTGAGGGGCATTCAGGGCAGGAACTGTTTGCAAAGATGTGAGTAGGGTTATGGGAACTTCAACAGTGGAGCACCCAGGAACCAGCAATAGCAAGAACCCTTACCACTTACCAACCCTCCAGGAAAGAGAAGGGCCCAGTATTACAGTGCCTCCCACGGGCGAACCCAACTAGAATCAAAGGGATTCAGGACATACTGTCCTTACACACCCTTGTCCTAAGACAGACAAAGGGTGGGAAATGCATGTAGATAGGCAGGAAGACAACAACCAGCACAGTGATGTTATAAATACTGACTCCTCAGTCAGAGAGATCCAGCGCGTGAGCTCACAGCTGAGGCTGAACATCACATTTTGCCTTTTTTTTCTTCTTCCTCAGTTCTCACACTGTACACAAATTGTCCTTGTTGTGGTGCACTTCATACAACGTTTTTCAAATTGTTTTATATCTCTCATTGGTGATTTTGCTGTTCCAAATGGCCTCCAAGCATAGTGCTGAAGAGTGTTCCCAAGTGCAAGAAGTCTGTGCTGTGCATTACAGAGAAAATGTTTGTTAGACTTGCTTCATTCAGGCATAAGTTCTTAGTCCTGACACCAAACTGTGATCCATAAAAAGAAGCGGGGCGGGGGGGGGGGGGGGGGATAAATTTGCCTTCATTATAATTTAAAACTTGTGCTGTGCAAAAGATCCTGGTAAGAGGATGAAAAGCTATGCTATATAGTGGGAGAAAATATCTGCAAACTACATAACTAATAAAGAACTAATATCCAGAATATATTAACAACTCTAAAAATTCAACAGTAAAATAACAATTGGAAATGGGCAAAAGACATTAAAAAATATTTCACCAAAGACACATAGAGGCCCAAAAGCACAACAGAAGATGTTCAACATTATTAGCCATTAGGGAAATGCAAATTAAAACCACAGTAATCACTCACAATCTTCTACCTAGCTTTCCACAAAGGGATCCAAGGGATAACTATGCACTGCAGAAATAAAAACACCTATTCATTTCAAGATTGAGCACTGGTTCTTAGCTAACACTAACCCCTTGGGAGCTAGAAGACAACTATGAGAGAGGTTTTAACGGGTTTTATCGAAGTTTGTCCCTTGGTGAAACCAATAGGAACACAGATGTGCTGTGGTTACTCCCCCAGCCTTGACCAGGTCGCTCGAATAGATATACTTAGCAACTGACAGAATCCTGCTTTGGCTCCCCAACCCATTGTGTAATTAAAAAGGCCCTGTGGAAGTATCTGAGCACCTCTCCCCCAGCAAAAAAAAAACAACACAACAAACCAAAAAAAACCCCTCAATACTACATCTTGACAAAGAGAGTGGAGAGAATACACAGGTTATTAATTAGTACCACCATCAAGACTTGAAAAATGCAGGGACAATTATTGTCACACCTTAGTTAAATCGCCTATTCAGTCTATTCAGAAGACATACAGATTTGGGAGAATGAGAATGTATTATTTTAAATTTAATAAAGTGATGTTAATTGAAGCGCTATTCCCTATGTAGTAAGAGTATATACTCTCCTCTGGAAGAATTTATTGACGTTACTGAGATTTATTCTTTAAATACTTGGTATAATTTACCATTGGAGCCATCTGAAACTTAAGTTCTCTTTGTGGGAAAGCTTTAAATTATGGGCTAATTTCTTTAACAGTTACAGTATTACTGAAATTTGCTCTTTATTCCTATGTTTTAATAAATTGTATTTTTCAAGAATTTTTCATTTGATTTTCAATAAAGTAGTATTATCAATGTCTTTAAGATTTGTCATTTTTCATATGGGTTTTTGTGCCTTTTTCTTTGATTTTTCTTTACCAGGTGTTTTTCTGGTGTATTAGTCCATCCTTTCACTTTCAAACCTTTCGTGCTCTTATGTTTTAGCTATTTTTTTTTTCGTAAAGAGTAAATATTTCAGTTTATGAAATACCCAAATTTTAAAATATTTGATAACTACAAAATTTAGTTCATTTACTGTAATAACTGATCTACTTGGGTTTTAAACTATCTTACAATGTGTTTATTTTTCCTGCGTGTCCTCGCTTTTTTCTTATCTTTTAAAAAACTTTCATGACCATTCCATTTTTCCCTTACTTTGGAAAATACACAGAACTTTTTTATTATTTTATTAGTTTTTCTAGAATCCAAATATACCCTCTTCTTGGATAATGAAAGGACCTTAGAATATTTTAACACTACTTTTCTACTGGCTTATATGCCATTGTTATTCCTTTCATTTATATAGTTACGGCATACACCATGTATACACACAATACACATATGTGGCTTAGTTTTGTTTGTCCTTGAACTTTGTAAATAGTTTATGCTAAATGCATTTCAATGGCTGTAATTTTCATTTCTGTAAGTTATCTTTAGCTCCTTTTAAAATCTGCCTGGTAAACAATATCAGGACGTCAAAAGTACAGGCTGAATTTGCAAGGTGTTGCTAAACTTGCTTTTACTAACTTGGATAGCCAAATGAGACTACCTCAGTAGAACACCTAAATGCTCACTATTTTGGTCCCTTCCAAAAGACACAAGAGGTCTTGAATAGTGTGATTTCTGCTCCGTTTTCTAACACACTTCTGTGGCAACACTGTGTGAGCTTAGAGAGAGGAGAACTGTATGTCAGAACACAGGAAAAATAATTGTCATGTAGGAAATTGGGTGGTCTGGAGCAGAAATCATAGGCCCAGTGGTTTGGAAGGGATCTAAGGTAATCTAGTTCGACCTCCTAGTATCCGTTGCCGAACTTGGGGGCAGGAGGAAGGTTGCTAGAATGGAAGTTTTATCAGAGAAAAAGTCCTCCCTGATTTACTCTATAAATACTGTACATAATATGTATTCAGTAAACACTTGACTGAATGAATATGGCAGTGCTAGATAGAATATGTGGAGGAAAAATTCATTACAATTCGGGAACTGAATTTGAGGGGCAAGGGAGTTAAGAAACTTCTCAAGAACTGAGCCGGAAGGGGAGGTAGTTCTGGAGAAAAAAAAAAAAAAATACTGGTACAGAGCTGGAAGCCGTGGTGATCAAACCTGTACTCTAATATGACCCCAACCACAGCTTACTTGAACAAGACCTTCACCTAAGTTAGATGGGATGCAAATCCTGTCTAGACTTCCAAGAATTTTCTAACAATGTTGTTTCCTAGATGCCGCCTACATACCCTCCTCGTTCTTTCTGCACACAAACGCGAGAGAAACTAGTGTTGGCAGAAAAGGCAGCAAGTAAGGGGCCAGAGCTGTAATCCAGTCTGTCCCACACCTGCAGCCACCATTCCCAGTCCTGGGGCGGCCATCGAGGGGAAGATTTGGAAGGTGACTTAAAGGAACAGGGTGGAAAAACAAGGTCGTGCGCACGTGTCCAACTCCTATAACTCCTGATTCCAGGCTGTTTGGGTGCAGCTGGCACCAGCCATTAAAGTATGACCAAGTCCGTGCAAAGGTCGCCAGCTGAAAGGAATACAGCCAGGGCACGTCTCTCTCCGGGGTTGGCCAAATACCGTTCTGAAACGCTATACGTCACCAAGCACAGGAGCAGTTACCTCTGCAGGATAATGCCCAAGAACCACAAGGGAACTCCACTCCACCCTCCCCGTTGGCGCACGCGCGCCCACAAATCGAGAAGGTGACGTCAGCTCCGTGCCGTACGACCAGCGGGCTGTCGTAACTGCCCGGCTAGAGAGGCTTCGAGAGAAAGGGCACCCCGAGACACATCCTACCATGCTGGCCGGCATGCGCGCGCATGTCGCTGCCTGAACGACTAGAGCCAATAAGCTGCGGTAACGTCACTGCGCATGAGTCGACCCGGCCGGACGTCGAACCGCAAAAAGGCGGAGCGAGTTCGGTTGCATCAACACCGGTACTTAGGCGCGGACCGGCGTGTCCTTGGAATTAGAGCGGGACGTCCGGGTTGAGAGTGGTATCCTCAGTCTTTCGCGCGACGGAAGAGCGGTGAGCTCTGGGCACAGAATAGGCAGCAGGGGGAGGCCTAGCCTTCGGGGCGCGCACCAGCTTGGGGGACGCGCGGGAGGTTGGAGGCCTGCGCCTGGGGTCTCCGGGTAGAGCCCGCGCGGGCGGGCCGCGCCGGGGGTTAGAACCCCGGACGGTGGCCAGGCTGATCCGGGTGGGCCACAGCTTGAGGTGGAGTGGAACCCTCCACCCCTCCCCGAACTAGGTCAAAACCCTGAAATCCCGGGGGTGGCTTGGAAGTGCATCTGGCTGAACGGGGCCTTCCCGTTGTCGGGGCTGAGCTGTAGAAATGGAAGATTAGATGTCTCGGAGTGAGGGAAAGAGCGGGAGGACGGTGCGCGGCGCTTTGCGTTCTCCTTCAAAGAGGAAAAACTGCTGCTTCTCCGATAAGGGGTAATTTTTTTCCGGGCCACTTGTCGCTTCTCCCCCTGACCTGCACAGACATCTCGGGAAGTCTAAGTCACGGTCTCTTTGAAACCGGCCCGGATGAGCGACCTCTTGGTCGCCCCCAGGGATCCCGGAGGTGGAGAAGGCGGGTCTCAGGGCGGCCTCGCAGCCTGCCGCTGACCTCTCACCCACACCAAGGCCGTTTAGAGTGACCTGAGCAAGCTGACTCAATCATGACCTCGAATGTACTTTGCCCATCGTCAGAGGGAGATGGCTTAAGTTGTAGTATGAATAAATAGGCATTCTTAGCCGCAATTTCGGTGGTGTTGGCTTAATGTATTAACTTTCAGACTTAGACTTCCCGACTTTTTGTGACCTTGACTTCATCTTTTGAAACAGTTTCGAACTAGTTTCCCACTTGGCTTACTTGGGCTCTAACCGACCTTCATCGAAACACACACACCCAATTTCTCCCAAATAGTATTTGCGGTATTAAAGCGTTGGTTGTAAGCATACTAAGTAAAACAAGATTGAATCTGGTATTTAATGTCACAGATTTACAATGGAATGGCAATTAAGTGATCATTGATTAGTTGCTACTGTGTTTTTACTTGGAGGAAAAACTTAATGAACTGAGTCTTTCGTTTTTAGATTTTAAAATGGGTGACGTTGAGAAAGGCAAGAAGATTTTTGTTCAGAAGTGTGCCCAGTGCCATACCGTCGAAAAGGGAGGCAAGCACAAGACTGGGCCAAATCTCCATGGTCTGTTTGGGCGAAAGACAGGGCAGGCCCCTGGATTTTCTTACACTGATGCCAACAAGAACAAAGGTAAGAGGGAGACAGTTAAATAATGAAAGCACAAACTGCGTGAATGTAACCGATGGAAAACCTTTTATCGGGAGTGTATAGTACCTAACAGTGCACCTCTTCTCGTTTAGGCATCACCTGGGGAGAGGCTACACTGATGGAGTATTTGGAGAATCCCAAGAAGTACATCCCTGGCACAAAAATGATCTTCGCTGGCATTAAGAAGAGTTCAGAAAGGGCAGATTTGATAGCTTATCTCAAAAAAGCTACTAATGAGTAATAGTTGGCCACTGCCTTATTTATTACAAATGTCTCATGACTTTTTTATGTATACCATATTTAAATTGATCTCAAACACCAGAATTCAGATCATGAAAGGCTGACAGAATGTTACTTTTGGGCAATTCTGATTTAAATAATACTGGCTTGTGGTTAAATGATTGGCTTTTTGAACTTTGATGGTAATTTTGGTTTCAGCAACTGCTATCACTATTTTCCCCTTCTAAAAATATGATTGGACTTGGTTTGTAATATTGAACTTTTTGCAGAGATGGTGCCTGCCATCTCAAAACCTGTAGGAGGGTGGTTTTATATTTAGATTTATGTCACTGGTTATATAAACATGTTTAAATACTGAGAAAATCCTTTCACTGTTAGAAAAGCAAGACTACCCTGTGTTTCAAATTACTTAGCCTGTTAAAAGGCAAGAGCTGAAGATAAGCTGGCAGTGTCCATTTTATCTTTTTTGGTCCTGACTATGCCAATTTAATTAAAATGTCCTGTATCTAAACTGTTGCCTTTAACTAATGAAAGGCATTTTAGTGTGGTTTGTGTATAATATCAAATAAAGAATATTTAACACTTCTCACACTTTATAAATGATCTGCAAGGTCAAACGCTTTGACGAGATAAAACAGCAGACTGAATTCTTGAAGTCAGGCTAAGTTATAATTCAGGATGGTCTTGAGCTATTCAGAAGCGACTGTAGAATTACTGTATGTGTCATTGGTAATGGTGCTGTTGCCAACTCACTAGAAGGTTAAAGGAGAGGAAAATAGATTAACACAAAATTGTAAACTATGTGATCATAAGGCTTAGGATAATTAAAAACAAAATCACAGATCATGATTTTTGTAATGTGATTGATTTAATACCTGATGCCCAAGTTTTAATGGTTGAAAAGTACAGTGGTCCTAAATGTTGATGCAGCGGGGTTAATAGTTATACTATTAGATTATATTTACCTGGTCTTCTGGACCAGCCAGAACTGTAACAACATTTAAATAATTCATTCTTAGAGTTCTTTGGCCATTGTGACCACTGCAGCATTTATGCCAAACGTGGACAGAAGAGTGTACTTCTAGTCGTGTATTATTCATGTACTGAATTATTTTATCCACAGTCTGTACCATATATTTAGAGTACTTCCCAGAAATTTTATGGCCATGGTAAGAGAAATTAAGTCCTGGTCTGAGTGGTAATGCTAGGGAATGTAAAAAGCACTTCCTGGAAATCTTTTAAAGTCTTTGTAAGAGGACTTGGTAACCGTGTAAGTTAGGGGTGTTCAGGGACAGTGTAGCAATTTAGCTTCTATGAGATGATGTGGACCCATGTGAAGGACGTGGAGGCCAGGGAGTTGATCTATTTCTGTGCCTCCTGCAGCAACTAAGGCCAAGGTTGGCAGAGATCATTACCGAGTACCTGCTGTGTTCTAGGCCAGTTACACTCAGTAAGGGCCTCTGGTTATTTACAATGTAAGTGATCCTAATAAGTTCCAAAGAAGAGCCATTCCTAGCTGTAACTGCTTTGTGCTCTTAGAAACAAAGAAATGGGAACAGGCTCTGGCTAGGCAATTTGGTCTAAAACCAATTTTTAAAATCCTTGGGTGAGGATTTAAGAAAGAAAGAAAGGACAAAAATTTAAGACTGTATTACTCATATGTAAGGATTGTTTCTTCCAATTGCCGCCTGCATCCTGGGTTTTGTATTTAATTTTAATTGATTTAAGGTTACCTAGCACAAATGGTTAGTGTATTGACAGCACATACCAAGAAGTAGAGCCAGTGATCTATAACAAGTGCTTCCCTTGAGCTTTTTATTTTCCCAATCTGGGATTCTTGCAAGAACACAATAGTGCCCTTAACACTGATTCCAGTTCCTGTGTCTAAGTCTGATATGCCCACCTCTTTTTTTTTTTTTTTTTAACTTGGTGATTTATTTTAGGTAGTTGGCATTCTGGTAGAAACCACCCTCGGGCCATCCTTTCCCAGCATTTTTCTCTAGTTTCTTTTATAGACATTGAACGTTTTTACTTGAACCACTGGAGGTTGTAAAATGAAAAGGTGGTACTGGAAGTTGCATGCTGTGTAGGAAGAGGCCTTACCGGGACGGGCCCTCCCCAGTTCACTAAACTCAGGCTGTTTTAGATCAGACAAAGGTAAACCAAAACGAGTTTCTTACGATGGCCAGTGTTCATATCTAATGATGAAGTCTTTGGCTCCCTTCATCGTACCAGGATACTTTGAAAGCCAACTAAGATGCTGCGGAGCATGGAGTAAGAGTGGCTCGTGAAGGTGTAGTTCATGCAAGCAAGGCTGATACCTGACAGCACAGATACATACATCTACAGTGACCTGAAGTTTGTTTTCCAGGTGAATCTATGCTAGGCAGTTCTTGGGGTACACACTGACCAGCCTCTCTGCTACATTATTTGTGCACCAGACTGACCATTGTCCTGGTATTCACATACTTTAAAAGAGTATAATAAAAGTAGTCAGTGTCCACTTGCTTAATAACAATTGGATTCTAGGTAACCTTCCTTGGAGTTTGGTATTTGGAAACTGGTTATACCCTCGGGCTGTCTTCCTTCGCTCAGAAAGCTAAACAGCCTTTGTTCTGTTTCTCAAGAGTAGATATATCCAGGTTCTTAGAAGGAACTTAACTGGTAGTCTCCCTATATATCACCAACAAAGCATAGCTTTCTATACACAGAAATACACAATGGCAAGGGGACTAGTACAGTAATGGATACATCATTGACAGTTCTTAGAAATGTTAAGAGATGGACTGACTTGCTGGAGCTTCGGTGAAATGGGACATTTTAATCACTTAAGACGGGTCCTAGAATGCTGGAACTGGAAGAGAAAAATTTAATTAAAAAAAAAAATCATGTATTTTCAGAGAAAGGGAGGGAGAGAAACGGTTGCCTCAACATGCCCCCAACCAGGGATGTGGCCCACAACCCAGGCAAGTGCCCTGACTGGAAATCAGACCTTTAAGTTCCCAGGCTGGGGCTCAATCCAGCTGTGCCCCTATGCAGATAAGAGGTGAAACTAACCTGAGCCAGGCTCGGGGAACTATAGGAACTTCTTGCTTTGTATCGGGCTGGGCCACTAACAGGATGTGGGAGTCCAACCTAACCACTGGGAAGAGGGAAACAAGGTAGCTGCCTGGGTATGGAGAGGGACGGGTTAGCCCACCGCCCTGACATCCTGCCACCCCTGCCTTGCTGTGTGATGCCTTCCTCTTGATGGGAGTGAGGCGAGTGGTGAACAGAAGCTACGCGGCCTGGGGTGGAATGTAGCCTACAGCCCTTTACCTTCTCCCCTTTCCTCATGTAAAAAGCCCTTCTGCCTGGGACGTGTTGTTTGAAGGGTGCTGTTGCCCCGGTGACCTGGTTACAGGGCCCACAGCTGGGGGGGAGGAGCATTGCCCCTCCTTTTCTATACATCTGGATTTGTTACCATTTTCCACTCAACACCTGTCAATATTGTCTAAATTGAAAGGGGAAAAAAATAGCTTTTGAGCAGCAGCTGAAACCGCAATCGAGATACCCTGACTCCTATTCAGTCTTACTCTAAACCCATGTTTCCCAGACATTGAGCTTTTCGCTTTTTTCTTCCTCTATTCATTAGAAATGCAGCTACAGTCCACATTGGTCCCATTAAATATGTGTCTCTAACTTGGGCAGCGTACTTTGAAAAAGGACCATGGTGCTGAACTGTATGTGTGGTGCAATGCAGAGAGTGCCGGGTTTAGAACTAGAAAAACTTAAGAGTAGGGGTTAGCAAACAGCCCCTGAGACCAATCTGGTCGGACCCCTGTTTCCAAAAATTAAACCTTATTGGTACAGCCACATTCATCTGTGTCTTTGGGGCTCCTCCTGCGTCACAACATCAGAGCTGAGTAGACTGTATGACCCCCAAAGCCTAAAGTATTGACTGGTGCTTTATGGAATAAGGTTCTTGACCCCTGGTTCACAGTAGAGCTTTGTACAATCTCCTTTTTCCCATCTGGAGAACAGAAATAAGCTGTATCTGGTAAGGTGACTGTCGAGCATTCGCTGAATGACATCCATGAAAGCTCTTCCCTGGTAAGCACTAAAATACTTGTTCATTTTATATCCAGGTCAGATTCCTTGAAAATCACATAAAGAATGACTGCTCCCAAGGCTAGCAAGGACCTGACTGTCTAGTATTCTTTTTTAGTATGTTGTTTCCGCACTCTCTAGGACATTAGACACCCTTGACTTTTTTTTTTTAACCTTCCGTTTTATGTTCGTTTCACACTCACATGGAATAAAATACATTGGCATCATAAAATTTTCAGGAACGAATAGCTGTAGTCATCTCTCGGTAACCCAAATACGTACTTCAGCTTGGCATTTGCCTAAATTCTAGTCCCATAACTCAACTTGCTTTATAGTTGTAAGGTCCATTCACATCTATTTATCCTCACTACCTCATGAGTTACATGGAACAGGAAAGTCCTTTGTTGATAGGTTCTCCGGCTTTAGCAAAATGACATAAAACCAATTTTATCCTAGACTACTTGATGTAAACAAGACTTAAGGTCCTATGGTGTTTCATTAACATAATGAAATGATGTTATTTGAGGACCTGCTGTGCTGTCCCTGTTTTATATGTAAGTAAAGAGGCTCAGAGAGGTGCTTACAGCCACAGGTCACACAAGAGCATGACTTTGGGAGTACCACGTGTACTGACTGCCTTTCCACTGTGCCTCCACCAACTCCATGTAAACTGGGTCATCCCTACTCGTAAGGACTCACTCTCTCCCTCCTACGGACGGCTTTCCAGGCCTCTGCACCTCTGCGGCCCTCACGGGTGGAGCCTGCTTGTTCTTCCACACTGACCACGACAGGGGCGTTGTGGTCGCGGCATCTTCCAGAAGATCCTTACTCTTCCTCTGTCATGCAGACCTCCCTGTGTAAGATTCATGACCTCTCCACAGACCCGTTGCTGTTGTCTGTATGAACCTTCATCATACACCAAGGAATTCAGCGCCTAGTTTATAGACCTCATTCTGACTTTTTTTCCTGAAATTATACTGGTAATAGCGCATATGAGCGAATGAATGACCCATCCTCAATGCCGCTGTAGCCTCAAATTTTTTATTTGATTTTCACTCCTCTCAGCACTCCTTTTTTTAAAAATAAAAAGTGGAGTATTTTTAAAAAGATTTTATTCATTTTTAGAGAGAGAAGAGAGGGAGAAAGAGGGAGGGAATCATCAGTATGTGAGAGACACATCAATCAGTTGCCTCTTGCATGCCCCCAACTGGGGACCTGATCACAACCCAGGCATGTGCCCTGGCAGGACATTGAACGGGTGACCCTTAGGTGTGCAGGCCGGTGCTCAGTCCACTGAGCCACACCAGCCAGGCCTTCACTTCTTCCCCATGGCTGCAACTTACATGTGTCATTGCTTCAGAACCTGCGCAGCTCTGAAGTTAGCAACCCCGCTGCACCAGTCTGATCGCAACCTCATACCACTCCATGTCTCAATGTTACTGCT